TGTACATAAAAGAATTCAAGATTGAAACAAATAGCGATGAAGGTGAAAAGTTGAACAGAAAATGGAAAGCAAATTTCGAATGTTGTAAGAGTTGAAATCAAGTAGCAAAAGGAAAACAGAATTAATAAACTGCATCAAACTGAGAGAAATGCAGAAGCAATCATTTAAGCACACTACTGATTACTGTAAATGATAAATATATATATAGGAAATCATAGCTGTAAAAAAGTACACACACACACATACACAGGTATACACACTTACAGTTGCGTATATAGCAAATTATTTAGTTTTAATTTCACCAAGTGAGTTAGTTGGCAAAATGCACCGAAAATTTAAATGGAAATCGAAATCCAAATACTGAAATATATATATATATATATAAAAAAATAAAAAATAAACATAAAAAAAGAATACATTTTAGCATAGCAAATGTAAAACTGAATCTAATATTATAAATACTCTGAAAGGCAAACAAAAATATTCAGAAATGAATTTGTGCGAACGAGAACAACAAAAAACATTTTAAAATACGCCCATAATTTACAAAAACTATTTTAGCTGTATAAATAAAAACGATATATTAAGTTAGAATTAGGTAATGGAAAACGTTTATGAATAAATAAATAAATGAAGCGCCATAAACGCGACAACAAAACATTTAAACAACAATGAGCATTAATAATTGAGAGAGAACACAATAAACAACACACACACACACAGAGACACAGACACACAAACACACACACACACCTAACATAAATTAAGCTAAATATAAATAAATATATTAGTTTTCTAAGTTAAATGATAAAAAAAAAGATTATAAATGAAGCAAATTGTAAAAAGCATAAGAAGAAATGAAACCAAATAAAAAACGCATTAAACTGAAGAATTTAATAAAAATTAAAATAAACCATGATAATAATTTCAATTTAAATATTCGAGCTACTGCGACTGCATTTTCTTGTTGCCTGATTTGAATGCAGTTGGCGGCGAGCGGAAGACAAATGAAAATTCTTGGATAAAGCCTGGAATTGAATCAATTTAAGCATGTCAACAATAAGCGGAGCAGGCCGAGCCGACCCACAACTGGCAAATCAATTTCAGGCATGCAGCATAGTAATATAATATTTTATGAATGCACCCAAAGCTCTGCCATAATGTATAGTAGATAGTAGCAGCATATTTCCTAGCCAGATTTTAATGGCCAGTGCAGCAATGCAATAAATACAGATTTATATTAAGACTTAATAATGTATGTATGTATAAATTGATAGCGGCTACCAAAAGGAATCTGTAAGCAGTGCGAGAGCATTCCATACATATATGTATGGGACACACGCATCACGCATACGCAGCGTCTGCCAAAAAGTGTACACACACACACATATATATGATAGCAGGGTTGGCCACAGATAGCAGCAGCAGCAGCAGCAGCTGCAGAAACTGCAACTTCTTGGCAAGAGCTCAAAGCAGCTGCAAAACGCAGAGAGTGTCGAGGCTGACGCATTATACGTTTCACTGCGCAATAATCCCATTAAAAGGCACTCGTGGACACGAAACGGGACGAGCAGGAGGCACAAGGGCAGGGTCCGGGCCGTAGGATAGAGCTCAACTGGGTCAGTTAATGCAGCTCGACCTGGCTGACATTTATGACCACAGCAGCAGAACGACAGAGAGGGAGAGAGGCAGAGAGGGAGAGAAAGAGTAGAGAACTGCAACAGCAACTTGAACGGCATCCAATTAAGTTGCCGAGTTGCCACCGGCACATACCACAGACACGAGTGCCAAAATTTATTGAAGAATCCTCAAGCCAGGGCTTTAAAGTAGGAAAAAATATGACCAGATCAAGTGTGAGTGGAGCCGTGTTGACAGCCAAGCGCCAAAGCACACACAAACACAGCTAGAAGCAGCAGCAGAACCACAGAGCCAGAGCAGAGCGCAACCAAAAGCCAAAGCCTGCCAGGAATTGTGGCAATGGCATCAAAATCAAAGACAAGCCAAGAGAAAGTTGCCCCGAAAACCAAGGCAAAAGGCAAAAGCGCGCATAATTAATGTAGGCATAAAAACAAGTGACTTGTAAATATTGCCAAGGCAATGCTGTGGCTGAGCCGTTGCTCCTTCTGAGTGTGTAAGTGTGTGTGCTAGAGTGTCTGTATGTGTGTGTGGGCGAGAGCTGTGAGACGGCCAGGCATTGTCTAAGTTTCACTTTGCTAATAAAGCGCCCAAGTGGGCGACTAGTGCCCACTTAAAAGCGCACACAAAAGCCAGCAACAGCAGCAGGACGAGCATCATATGCATGCGTGTGTGTGTGTGTGTGTGTGTTGTTTACGCCCCCTCTGTATGTGTCTGCTGTCTTCGCCACTTGCTGTGTAGCCTTGTTTGCTTGCGTTTATATGGTCTAGTGATTGTGACATTGTAACTACAATTACATGCGGAAGTGAGGCACACATCAACGTACACACACGCACACAAACGCACACACACACATAGTCAGCTTATTTGGCGGCTATCTTTGCTTTATGTATGGCTAATGCGCCACTAAAGCTGCGCACAAATTGAGCTTATCGTATGGTTATTTCAATTCTATTTTATGCCTAACGGCTGCAGAGGCCCACTGTCTTAGGCTAGGCTCCGGGTCTTAGGCGTTCTCCCTCTGTGTATGTGTATGTGTGTGTGAAAAATGGTAAGCCCTTAGCTCGCTCTCTCCCTCTCTCTCTATGCGGATGCGTGCACAAGTGTTTGATCTGCTTATGTGTGTGAGTTAGCTGGGCCAGTCCATGCCTTGGCGATGCCTTGGCGTTGCCTTTATAAAGTTATTAACCAAAATTAATGCTTGTTATAAAATGTTCGTATGTGTTTAGGAAGTGAGCCGGGCATTAGATGAAGACCTCAGCAGCTGGGCCAGCAACGAGTCAAATTAGCCAAGCATCAGCTGAGGTCAGAGGTCAGCCCAAATAGATTTGCATTATTCAAATCGCAATTTTAACAAGTTTCCGCCACACTTTCTGGAATTCATGGCCAAGCTGCGTGCCGCAAATGGGCATCATAATTGCCTGGGCCACCGGTGAGCTACTTATGCTAAGCTCTCTAAACTTATCCAATTATGCGAAACACTTGGAGCAGCATGCGTACTTATCTAGTTAAACAAGGCTTTATGAAAAATAAAACTTCAAAGTGCGAGTGGAGGCAAAGTTCATTCCTGAGGAGAGAAATAAATAAATGTGAGTGGCCGGCCGAAGCGTAGAGAATTTATTAAAAATTAAATATGCACACACGTCCATTCACGCATGGACGCACATTAATTTGCATAACTAATAAAATGGGCCAAAAAGACGATAGTGACAGTGAGAGAGGGGGGAGGAGATAGCAGGGAAGCTGTTGCCAAAAAAGTTTTCCAGCTGGCAGCAAAAGAATGCGCAAAATATGTCAAACTAGAAAAGTTAAATGGCAATGAAAAGTGTGAGATCGGAGCCGAGATTGCCGTCAGCTGTCGAAATGTTTTAAAATTAATTCAGACTCATAAAATATTGACAATAAAGTGACTCTCACTCTCACTTAGCCTCTCATTCT